TTGTTTCAGCGAATGAGAAGGGTGACAGGCTGCTCTCACTATGTGCCACTCACGACCTGGCGATCACGAACACTAGGTTTGCACTGAGTGCGAGTGATCAAGCAACTTGGACGCACCCCGGGAATGGTCACGCTCAGCTGCTCGACTATGTCATCTTACGTCAGCGTAAATCTATCTATTGCACTCCTCCCGTGAATCGGCGTAAATTTAACATTCTCTCCTTCGGTACTGGGGAGAAACTTATTGAGCTGGAGAAGGTGTTGGTTGCACGCCATTATGCTTCTTCATGCATAAACACAGTGGACGACCAGTGGCACAACACACATGACCAGGTGACAGCTGCTGCCTAGGAGACCATCGGGCGCGCAAAATGTAATCGGCCTTACTGGTTTGATGAGAGCAATGCGGCGACTGGCGCATTGGTGTAGGGGAAGAATGCAGCATTTGCTGCACATGTGTCAGGCCCCGGTAACTTGGGGAAGAAGAAAACGTTTGGTCCAATTCGACGACGACTGACCCTAGAGCTCCGTCAAATTAGGAATGCATGGTGGACGGAGAAATAGAAGAAGTGCTACGCCGAACGCCGCCAACACAAGAAATTCTTTGATTCCTTGAAAGCAGTGTATAGACCGAGATTAAAGCCGCTGAAGACGCTGATCGATGCTGGTTCAGACGCTACCTGCACACAGACTGCAGACATAATGCGGATATGGCGAAAATAATTTGACTGTCTCTTGAACAACCGTTCAGAGATTGACTGGCCTACATTTAACGGTCTCAAGTAGCACGATGGGAAGGCGAGTCTGGCGGACACGCCGACACTAGATGGGACGCAGAGAGCACTTGCTCAGCTGCGAAACGGCAAGTGTGCCGGGGCCGACGGGATCCCGCCTGAAGTATTAATACACGGTGGACCCGCGTTGGGGACTGCGCTGCACCACTTGGTTCAGGAGGAGAAGGAGGCGCCTCCTGAGCTGAAGGATGCCCTTGTGCTACCACTGTACAAGGGTAAAGGGAGCAAGCACCGAATTATGGTGGCATTAACTTGCTGAGTTGTGTGGACAAGATGGTTGCCCTAATCCTGCTCAGTTGCCACGTCAGCGGGATTGTGGAAGCGATTGTTGCGGAAGAGTAATATGGATCCGTCCTGTTCACAGCACTATATATATACACATACATATATATATAGTGTTTGCTGTTCGACATTTGTATGAGAAGTAGAGAGAACGACACCAGCCGTTGTACACGTTGTTTGTTGAATTCACCAAGGCATTTGGTACGGTAAACCACAAGGCATTGTGGCTGCTGTTGGATAAATTTGGTTGCCCGCGTAAGTTTGTAAGTTTAATTGAATGTCTGCACAGTGGTATGCGAGCGAGGGTGCAGCTGAGTGGTGAGACCTCAGGTGACTTTGCAGTTGTCTCTGGTGTGAAGCAACGTTGTGTCTTAGCTCCTGCCCTGTTTAATATATATCTTCATGTAAGGATGTCTTGTGCTGGGTTGCTGAACATCCGTCGTTTCGTTGCGAGAACCTTGCTCTGTGAGATAACTATCCGTATGTTGCTGTTCGCTGACGAGTGTGCGGTGTTTTCACACAGCGCGGATGATTTGCAGCACATGACTACTGTATTAGCTTTGATAGCGGCCAAATTCGGACTCACCATCAACGCAAGCAAAACACTCTGTCTCTTTCAGCCTTCGTAGGAAGTGCAACCTGCGCTGGCGCCGCAAATCTGCATTGGTCATAGAGTATTGGAAACCACCTCTCGCTTCTGCTACCTTGGGAGTGTGATGTCGACTGACCTGCAGCTACATTGTGAGCTTTGTGTCTGTATGTCGAAGGCAGTGGAGGCATTCAGGAAGCTGTAGTACCACCAGCTTACAGTTGGCACGAATTTGATGGTGTTCAAGTCCATGGGGCTGTCCGTTCATCTATACGACAGAGAAACTTGGACGATGTACCGGCGGAGTGTGCGATACCTCGTGTAGTTGAATCAGCAGTGTCTGCGACGGAGTCTGGGTATCGCATTGGGCGAGAGAGTTGCAGATACGGAAGTGATATGTATGCAGTTGACTGCATACTTTTGCTGAGACACCTGAGCTTGCTCGGTCATGTGTGGCGTATGGATTCGACGCGGATATCGAAGCAGCTATAATATGGTCAGCTGAGTTTGCGGAAGATGCTTATGAGGAAACGGAAGCTTCGTTACCAGGACATGGTCAGAGTAAGCTTATCACATTCTAATCTTGATTGCATGTCATGGGAATTGAAGGCGGTTGATCGGGGTGCATGGCGCGTTCTGATCACGAAGGCACTTTCCGTGGTGACGGAGAGAGACCTCGTACATGCGGAGAAGAACCGGTTATTGTGGAAGCGGCAGGGGCTGATGGGTTGTACTCCATCAGTGTCGAGCGCATGATGCTGTAGCACATGCGGTCGCGAATGCATGAGTCAGGTTGGCCTAGTGAGCTATGAGCGAGGCAACTCGGGGCCAACACCGAAACGATGACGCGTCCTGCGGTGAACGTATGCAGAATCGGCTCAGGGGTTTGTAGGTACGTTGCATTCGATTTACTAAAAGCTTTCTTGCATGATGGGTCTCTTTTCTTTAAAGGGGGGTTTGCTATCTTGTCCTAATGCCATGTTTATCTCATAATAACGTTCGCCTGAACTATCTTCTATAATCTTGCACACTTCGCTCATGTTACTTGTAGTTGATTCGATAACATATTTGCGTTTGTGGCATTTTCACAAAATATATTTTCTGACCTCTTGCTTCTTTCGCGGATATTCTACAACCAATTTATTTCATATGCTTATATCTTGTGCCCCATGCTGAGGCTGATGTTGCGTTCATGATGCTTCCACTGTGCAGTTGGGCTAAACCAACTTACAACTAAAATAAGTCTTTTTAAGCTGGCTAAATTTCATTCCACTTCAATTGGTTTGTTCTGTCTACCTGAATAATCCTCTGTTAACTTGCACACTTTGCTTACGCTAATTGCGCCCAATTTCGTATACTTTATTGTGTTTGTAGCATTTTGAGTAACTTCTGTACATTTTGTACTTATCGCGGATTTGTTGCTGACCTACGTACTTCATATGATAATTTAGCGAAGAGTTAAGTCTGCAGAGCAGTATTCCTTAACATATATATTTTATTTAATCATGTTATTCCAAGTGATTGGCCATTGTTTGATATCCACGGTGTGGCTACGCCTGATGTACATGTTGACAAGATGCATACCTGTCTATTGCCTACGACCCCATCCATACTGGCTCCAGGAGACAGTTGGTCGTTGCTGGAGGGGACACGGTGCACTGTCCTTGTGGCCGTGTTAGGATCGAAGAGCGATTCCATGCACTCAGTGTGGGGCGGACTATGGTCCAGCCATCGCTTTGTGTGTGCTTCATTCCTAAATACAGCGTGCTTGTGTTTGCCTGTGAAGGAGTGTGGGCCGGCTCCGTCGATTGAAATTGGTTCCCATCTGCATACCTCCCGGTCTTATTCCTTCGGGTTTACACCGGATTTGGGGTGTGTGGATGGAGCTCTGGGTGGTGCAGCGCAAGCCACCCATGGTCCCTCTGTAGGCGCATGCGTCCTGTGGCTGGCCACAACGAAAGGCGTATCCGAAACTGGATGCCGCCAACCATCACACTGGACACAAACCTAGGTGCTACTCATTTTATCTGGTCGGGACATTGCCAGTATTATTGTATTTTCTGTTGCTATCCTTTTTAAGGACACTTTCCAGTAGATGAGTTAAACACATAGTCAGTTTAAAAAAGCAGATTGACTACAATGCTTTCAAAATAATAAGCAGTACTGTCTTTTCTGAGGGTTAAACAGCAAATAAATATTGCGTTATTTCAGTGCCTCAGTCACATGGGTTATTAGTTTAGCTTTTTCATTTTTTTATTGAGGATATACGTCAAGAGATTCACCATGCGGTAAACTGCGTGCTTTTTGGAATATCCACCAAGAACACGGAAAACGCATGAAAATGTGTAAGCCAATTTGGCAGCGGAAATCATTTGCCGCAACCTGCACTGGTGGTATTAGTTATTTCCATCGGAGAGACCATCATCAATGAATGTCCATCAATGGAGCGGTTTACACACCTCACATGCCAGAATTAATCCATCTAACCACCCAAATGATCCAAAAGATAAACACAAAAGACAAGATTTTATCAGGTGGATAGTCAGTGAATGAAATCAAATCCATCCTAATAGCCTCCAGATATCTGAGAAGTTGTCACACCTTGTCAATCGCCTTCTGCTCATATGGTGAAACGTTTAAGCGAATCATGTTGTTGTGCGACTGCTTTACTGGATCGCAACAAGAATCAAACGTTTAACTAAAGTGGACCAAGATATATTTGGTTATTGAGAATTAGTCTGGAGTAGGTCAATGCTACGTGTTGCTGGCTACCAACACCATCTTACAATATCCGTTTCCTTCGTAGAACGATGCGCCTACCCATTCGCGAAATGACGACAAATACATACGAATGGAGAAAGGGCCTTATTTGATGTAGAAATATCTCTAATGAAACCTATTCGCCAACATTGTAGCATCTTTCACGGATTTCGGCAACATTACTCTGGATGTTTCCAAGGTTATATACTCAAACTAGTTCACTTATTATGAAGTAATTTATGAAGTCAATTATCTGTCTTGTAAGCATGATAGGATCCTCCGGTTGGGGATTACTCATCCGAGGTGTGACACGCAGAGAGTTTCTTCGTACTGGCGTGTTAGAATCACAGAATCTGCGTGTCTGTTTTACTTGGTTGCTCGACATGCCTGTATAGAACAGGAATTTATTTCCTCAGATCAATAACCGTGGTTTTGCTTGTTGCATCGGCATTACAACAGGGCTAAAGGTGATTTCCGTTATTTGCAATTGTCATATGTGCGATAACTTTTGTCAGGCGTTCACTACCCAGAAGCCTTTCTCGGTTTAAAATGATAACGCCCCATTTTTTCATTTAGAATCCGTCGTACGACAGCAGCTGCCACATTCCAATTCTTGTGACACAATATCCAATCAAGTCACTTCTCCTGATTCTGCTCGACTGAGCGGGGCGCCTATTCACAACCATCGGCTTCGTCGTTCGTCTTCATCATCTTCTGCTGAGTTGGATAAACAGGCGGAGTATCTGGAACAGCCCACCGCCAAATCCCAAGGCGGCGGTGACGGCCATTGTCAAGGACTGCTCGAAGCTCAAATGTCCGGTTTGAGTATGTTTCACTTTTCTTCATGTTGTTTACCAACTGAGTGTCTTTGCTGTAGCCATAATCGATTCACCACAACCATCAACGTTAGTATCCAGTGTAAAGTTGGACACGGCATGGAGATTCACCGAAACTAATGCGCTACCTGCATGAGCATACAGCCGTCAAATGGATACATAAGACGCTACATTGATGGTGCAACCCATGGGAAAAGCAGCGTGCAGGCCCATAACGAAGCAACCAATCGAAAGCAAAGTTACGCAGTCCCGTCCAGTGACTGCTTGCAGAGTACGGTACCGTACAACAGTTCAAATAACAGAGGAAAGCGCAATGTACGTCACAAGACAACCTTAGGAAAAGCAATTATTTTGGAAGCTTAAGTTCACAAATGTGAAATCAGGTGACAGCCAAACTCCGTTGATTTCAATACCCGTAAAATATCGTGATGTCTTAAGTACGGTAGTTTACGTTTGACTACCGCATACCGCAGAGAATGACTAACTCGAAGTATCTGAGAATATGGTTACTGGTTACTTGTCGATATAACTATGCACTCTTCCGATGCACGGCATCCAATGTTTGATGGCATCCGGTTCCGAGTTTACTTGTCACTGCGGCCACCATAGGACAGCCACAAGACACCTGCGCTTACAGATGAACCATGAGTTCGTTGCACTGCACCACACACACAGTTCGATCCACACACCCCATATCCAGTGTGAATCCGAAGGAATAAGACTAGAAGGTAGGTATGTGGGATCCACGTTTCATCAACGGAGCCGGCCCACACTGTTTCAACTTGCACGTCAGCAGCACTCCTGTCTATCTGTATTGGGAATCATACGTGCCAAACGGGCACAAAGCGGCGGCTAGACCGTAGTCCGCTGCACACAGGATGGAATTACTCCTCCAGTCTAGCACAGCCACGCGGACTGTGCACTCCGCCCCCCCCCCCCACGCAGCGAAGATTAGCAGTTCACTAAAAGCAGTAATCACTGTGGATGGTAATAAACAGGTAGGAACCTTGTCAACATTCACATCAAGCGTAGTCACACCGGGGGTATCAAACAACCAGCACAGAATCTGAAAGAAAATAAAAATGCAATATTGGCACGGAATATGTGTGCTAGTCAAATAAAGTGGAATACATTTTATCCAGATTAAAAAGATCTAGTTTAAGTGTAATTCCATTGAAACCCAAATGCAGGGAAGAAGCCTGATGTATACAACATCAACCTCTGCATAAGGCATTAACGCACCACCAGAATTGACGTTACCTTCTTCTATGTACACCTGGAAGAGTGGCTATTTCTACTTCGACTTGTGTGTGTGTGTTTCCGCTTCTAACCCAGATAGTAGCTACCTTTTCATAAGCTCGTATCCTAGAGGTAATGAGTTTGTCTCGCAACCTTATGGCGCGGGTTCGAGCCTGCGTAGGGTCAGGGCGACCCTCGCATTATCCTTAGTCCACGTGCGGCCGGTGGTGGTTGCGCGGCAGCGAAGCGTTGGTACTGCGTGCTGCCATCAGCAGTAGCTGGTGCCTTCCTTTTTATCTTTCCTGTTTTCTAAATTTCAAAGTTTACACCAAAAGTATGAAGCGTCTTTTTGTGGGTACTGTAAGTGGTTAAACGCTTGGAAGGTTTGATTTACGCGTATCCACGGGTCTCAAAATGACTAAACTGAAACTGGAAACATACTCCATCATTTGTGATCTCAACATAGATCCGTATTGGCAACTCAATTCGCTCAGAAAACCCAGGAAAATAAATTCAAATGTCACATACATACACGCCTAATGCGGATGTGCTCATGGATGAACTGAACCTTTATCCTGCACTGCACCATCTCTCTAAGCGTCGTGATAACATTGGGCAGCAAGTCCTTATAGGATCATGTAATCTGTGTGGCAACTTCAAGGAGCAGATGCCAAATAAACAGTGATGGAGGCAACCTCGCGTAGACTGGTGAGCAATACAATGGAGCTTACCTACTGATGTGAATTTCGGAATATGCCGTAGCTCACCCTCTCGGCATGTCAGCGAACTATGGCTTTTCTCAGCCAATTGAATTCATAGCGCTATCAAGTTCCTCTTTAAGGAATTGATCTTCATCCAAAACTATCTCAAGATGGTCCGTAACGCTTTGAACTTGCATCCGCCGGCTGGCAGCAGTTCTAAAATTTGCGTACTACACTTTGGGTGACCAATCTCAAATAAGCAAATGTTATAACAGATAGATACACGTAATGGGATGCTACTGACTGATTTGACTTTAATCACTCAATGGACTGTATCTTCTAAGCGAGCTCGCGCTTGATGGATGCGTTAAGGACCATTCTGAGAGGTCTATAAAAAACATGTTTTCCTTAAGGAGGAAGTTGAAAGCGCTATGCATTCAACTCGCTGAGAAGTGGTATAGAATCCGCTTGTGATTCTAGCAAGGCTAGCGTAAGCCGCGAAGAGTACAGATCAAGTCAAGGCAGCATAAGATTTAGGTACCCAACTGGGTACACAAGAGTGTAGTGGACGACACGTGGAGTAGTAGAGAATTAAAGCCGAGCTAAATATGCTCAATGAGTGGTAACTTAGATGTGGGTCTTATGTCTTAGACGTGTACAATACAGATATTGTATGGCACCAAGTCAGTAATTAATCGCTTTACAGTGAAAATGCACTCAAGCGACACATTATCGATAGAATACCGATGGCACCCACTAGATGACGGAGATAGGGTAAGCAACTTTTCTAAGTTAGCAAGGAATTGGTGCACTTACTTTAATCGAAACCAATGACACCATTGATTTTTCTAGGCTCAATCAAATTAAAGTCGGTGGAGGAAGAACGAGTAATATTTCTTGGCTCACGCTCATGAGTCGTGGCATACAATACAAGACACTAAACTTACAAGTCCTCTGATTTTTACCAGGCAAAACTTTGCCCTCCTTTGCTGGAAGCCTTCCCGGCCCATGGCATACCTAGAAACAGTTGGGAACATCCTCATCCCAATATCCTGTTATCTTGACAGAACAGCCAGAAGTCACCTGCTGCTGCTGCTACAAAAGGGCCATAGGCGTCTTCCTTTGAATCATTCACTACACTTTCCTATGTTTACCATTATTAACGTTCAAAGCAGATGGAATTAGCATCATGCTAAATCACCTTCCTTCCATCAATGGTAAATGGATTTGGAAGTATATGTGCGGCATCTTCGGCCGGTATCATTGTCATGCGATGGGAAAAAACAAAGTGATCGCATCGAACCTTTATCCAGGGCACAGCCAGACCGGGTATGTGTCTCAGCAATATAAGTCCAGATGGAATCCACACTCGCCCACACTTACCAGTGTGCACCCGGGTGTGATGACACCGAAATCATCACAAAGCATCACAGTTGCAGTAATTGCCTTTAGATTCGGTACCTTGTATGGTTGTGCGGATGGACTTGGACACATAATTCCCATGTGAGATACCGTTCATTTGGGTTAGACTCTAATTAATTTGGTCGCTGGACTTGCAGGTTAGCCAGACGGTGACATTCATCACCGGTTCAACGCTTGTCTATAATCCACAGCTACAGTCATCGTGAGTTTTCTGCAACCGAGTGGTGACATTTGCAGCCTTTTGCTCCAGCGACTATGAATGAGCTACTTTGACGTCAGCGACAATGCAAAAACATTACGGATGACGAAGTAAAGAGGAAAAATGCATACACCTGTCCCTCTAACAGTCGACCCCGTATCCCAGTAGCGACGACCACACATTGCCAAGGAGAGAAGGACAGGTATCCGGCTGAGTGACGTGTGTTTCAGCAAAACGTTCATTGATAACTGGCTTCAATTATTCTATACTTGTGGCCGAAGGCTACAAATCGCAAGTTGTGTGCAGTATCGAAAGCATTCGTCAAGCAATAAACTGAATGAGATGGCCTTAGTGACCATGGGAAAAGTTTAGCCAACGTTTCATAATATTTATACAGAACGAATACATATACAAATGAGAGTGTAAAAATGTTTCTGTTTAACCGGCAAAACTCGATTTAAATTCCTCACCAAATTGCTGTTATCGAACAAAATTCCGGCCGCGGATGTAGCGTTTGCGTGCGCGTAATTGTTTATGCACACCAGTCTCAGATCAAGAACCCGAGGGGCTCAAATGGCCTGTTAAGTGGTAGGCAACACTAGTCTTAGGCATTAGAGCTGACCGCAGAGACCGCTTCACTCATCTGCGAAGGTCTTCCTGGATGTTGTATAGTGCGCCCTAGCTTGTAAACATCCTAGAACATTGTTTCTACGTTTCTTCATACTATACATATAGTTGTAGCTTCCCAGCTTTCTATCTGTATTGTACCCCAGCCTAAAGGTAACGTGCTTTTCCCATAAGTTTGCGGTGCTGGTTCGAATCCACGTAGGAGTGATCGTCCTCGCGGTATACTCAGCCCACGTGCGACTGGTGGTGGTCGTACGGCAGTGAAGCGCCATTAGGGGGTTCAGCTGACACATTATTACTTTGTGTTGGCTCTTTAGTCAGTCTAATATTGATCCATTACCGCACAGATTTCCATTTTCTCCACTCATACTGATTTCTGACGAAAAAGTGCCTGCCATTGGCTCAACAAAACGCAAGCATTGGATGTAATTATTGAGTTCGCTTCCAGGAAGGTCACGATCCATCCTCGAGGCATGCACTCCGCACAAGTCAACACTGAATCATTAGTCGATCTTCCAAGTGTTCCCAATCGGATCGTGGAGGCATTGCTGTTAAAACATCCAGTGGAATCATTCACACACTGTGTTTGAGTCCCATTTCTACTGACTCTTCTTCACAGATGCAAACAAACACGAAGCTATAAACCATGAAGCTAGACGTAGGTAGATGAACGATTTTAGGCTACTAACTTCTTAATTACTGCATTCAAGAAAGTTAGTTTAACGCATTGGCTGCAATAGAACAGTGGTCTATTATTAGGTTAAAAAGCAACTGCTTAACAAGTCCCGTACCGGCATTCCGGAACGAGCCAACCTCCATTGTGTAGGTTAAAGCTGGTTCCGTAACGTTCATCACATTAAATCATCTGTTGATATAGATAGGCTATATCTTGTGATGTAGTTGGGTTAGGGCAATATCAAGGCGCTTTTTAACATATACAATAGCGGTGGAGACAACATAATTTAGGATGGAATTCCATGACAAACAGACACGAGGAACTTAAACGTTTCGCCTACATTCTACCCGACTTTATTCTGTGTGGCCAGCTTGTGCTGGTGACCCTTCTACTTCGTGTTATAAGTGAGTTGCAATAGGTGGCAGCAGACATGGTTGAAGTGCCTGAAATCTTGTGGGCTATTATTAAGTCACCATGTAGGCGCCGATACTGTCCACTGTCCAATCTTAGAGTGTTCAGCCTTAGTTGATATAGAAAGTGAAACAACCCTTTTACATTTAAAGCTGAATTTAGGGAACACGCTGTGTGGTTGGGTTGCGAATCGCAACCTCTATTGAGACCTCGGTTCGCCTTGAAATGAACCTCGGTCATTCCGAGCTCGAGTACCGTATCCCTTTTACATGCTTGTTGGCCCTTCTTTGGGGAGTCTCGACCATCCCGTGATTTTGCTTGAAGCTAGCCAAGGATTGCATATTCCACATGAGGCCATACGTATGTGCTAAGCGTCTGCAGACAGACAATGGGATCCGACCTCCCGACTTCCCTCCACAGAATACCAACTTTTTGTTTCTCAGTGTTTGATGACTGCTGGATCGTTCAGCATCGCACGAGGAATGGGAGTTCTTGCAGCTAAAGACTACCATTTCTTAATACCGCATTCGTATCGTCAGTGAGGAAATAGTAAAAGAATGCTACTTTGGTTCTCATGTATTACAGCCTCAAATGAAGTTCCCCCTCCTACCAGATGGGACAGCTGATGCTGACATACCATTCCATTGAATGTTAAGTGCACCGATTTTTTTAAAAACTCATTTTCGTGCTTTAGATAGAGATTGAAGGTGTTAGTTGTGGAAACATCGGTTAAATCAGACGCCATGCTAAAACAGCTGTCATCAATTAGTTTGTTGGACCTCCTTGTTCCGTAACAGGAAAGAGTAGAAGGCGGATTACGGGACAAACGCAATTTCGTCTCCGAGTGACAGGAAACACGTTTAGCAGAAAACTATTAGATCACATCCGATTTTCCTTCATAGAATGGGTGTCCCAGTGCTGATGTCTAACAATCATTGAGGCCATTTACTGATTGCTTTGATTGAACTTCGTATTTCAGAGAGGTAAGACTAAACTGTGAGTAATTGCTGCTCCTATAATTATCCACAACAGACAGATATCAAACAAACTCAATCTTACATTTCTCCGGTTTAAGGCAAAAGTGAAAATGTGTGATAACTTTCTACTCGAGCTCAGTTTTAAGGACAACATTCTACAAACTAACTTCATATCCCCCTAGCAGCGTTAGGTTATGTCTTTTCCTCGCTACTTTTCCTCTGTTCACCTCACAGCAGATCCCACGAAATGAGTTTACAAAAGACGCAGGTCTCTTTGCGATTGCA